CTATACGTTTTATTCCATTGCACTCGCGGAGAGTGCAATGGAACGTGTTCCATTGCACTCTTGGGAAATGGAATTTTCTATTCAATATCACGTGACCATAAACAGCCAATTAAATGATTAGAATTTAATAAGGTATTATATAAAATTTTCTATTCAATATCACGTGACCATAAACAGCCAATTAAATGATTAGAATTTAATAAGGTATTATATAAAGCATCCTATTGAATTCAGTAATCCGATTTTGAAGGCAGAATATTTGATTGAGATGAGATTTATAAATCAGTCAAATTCATGACCAGTCTAATCGTTTGCTGTTTAAGTTCAGTTAGACTATAAAGAAAATATCTTCGCCTATGTGACTTGTGAAATATAGCTTCCAAAACCTCTTCGAAGTAGTTTTAGAACGTTTTATACACCACATAATGAGGCTTATGGCGGCCATATTTGATGGCCTCCATTAGTTTTCACCAACAAATTTAGGAAAAAAGAGAGGCTACTGGTGATAAATTCTTATCTAGGCAATATTTGTCCTTTCCCACTAGTGACTAGAAACGTAAAGGAAGAGCTGAACATGTCCACAACACCAGATTAGATTAATGATGGAGCCATCCAATATGGCCGTCATCGGCTTCACTTATGCACAGCAGATGCCTTATCCAGTCTTATTTCAGATCAGTGATGTACCCTCATCTCAACGTTATAACTCATCTACTAGTTCACATTTATCAGAAGTAGAAAATTGCACCTAAATTCGCAGGACAAATTGCTTGTGTAAACGGGCTTTAAAATAACCAACATGGGAGATATACGGGCGGTAACTTCTCGGTGCTTGAAAACCATATAGATAGATAGGTTCAATCTGAGCTTCCCTTGAGTGTCAATGCTGTTTTTGAATAGCTGGAGGGTGAGTAGTCACATAGTAAGGTACGACACTAACCCTCCAGCTATTCAAGAACAGCATTGACACTCAAGAGAAGCTCAGATTGAACCTCCACTCATTGAGTGTGAGTGAGCTTTTAGAATACAAGAGTACACACGTAAAAATCTCGCATCTTGTAACCTCTAAGTCTGCCAACAAGCCGTCAACAAGATGTATTTGCCTGCTTGTCACAAGTTGTCAACAGGTTTGGAACAACTTGTTGACAACTTGGAGCAACCTTGTTGAAATTATCAGACTTGTTGCAAGGTTGATATAACAAGATTGTTACAACCTTGTGTTGACAGCCTTGTAACATCCTTGTTATATCATGGCTGTGACAAACTTGTTAGCACAGTCTTGTAACAAGGCTGATAATGCCATCAACCTTGTTACAAGTTGTTAACAGCTTGTTCCAAACTTGTTCCAACAAACTGGGAACAAGCAGTGCGAACACAACTTGTTGACAGCTTGTGCCAGACTTGTAACAACTTGTTTGCAGACTTGTTACAAGCTGTGCGTTTTTACGCTTGTGTAAGTACACCTTGAGATTTAAGTTTGTACCTGCTCAAGTAGCCCACAATAATAATGGGAGTACCAGTCAGGAACGACTAAAAATCTTGCATTATCGCACTCTGCGAAGCCTTTACTCTTCACTCCTTACCTATAGGTTATCCAAACTTGAAATAGACCCGAAAAAAGCAGGAAAATCTGGATCAATGGAATCCTTTCGGAGCGATGTGAATAATTGCGGGAAATGTCGAAATGGATCTGCGAGTTCTAGGAATTGTTCAGAAAAGTTAAGCTGGGTTTGCAAAGTGCCGGAATGTAAAGCGAAGCGAGAGGTTAGGTTTTGTTCAAGTGATATTCATAGAAGTGATAGATCTTCAAGGAGGTATAAATCAAGTAAGGAAAGTGTTGCAGCCAAGTGGGATGCTGTAGAGAAGTTCATCTGTACTGGACAGAAGATGAATGCTTGGACACGAGAACAGGTAAGATATATAACCTGTGTAAACACCCTGTGTAAACAATAATGAAAAGATTATCATTGATTATGATAATCTTTTCATTATTGTTTACACAGGATGTGGTTGTCCAATTCACCTCAGCCATAGGCTCCATAACCAAGGTTAAGAGGCGGGAAACCAACCTGGTGTTTCCACAAATCAAAATGAAAGAAAGTATGTATAGGGAAATTACCCTGCACAGTCAGAACAGATTTTTGGTTTTGAAAGTTAATTGTATACTTTGTATATTTTTCAACATAGCAAAAAAGACTTTATTACACATGTTATAAAGTTTTTTAGATAAAAAGTAAATTTCAGCCAAATGTTTTTATAACCATGTGCCAATGTTACATACTCTAGATTTCTAATTGTAAGTGTCCAGTTATAATAAGTCCACTGTTTGGCAACGTTAAGTTGCCTGTATATAAACCTATTGCTACATTTGCTTGCTTCTGTAAAGCTCAGGGCTATATACATTTTCCAGCACTCCACTTTCTGTTAGAAACTGTTGGTTCTTGTAGGCTTTAATGTTATTGGTTTGTACGGTTGACGTTTTCTGACATTTTCATTCGGGTCATGACAAAAACGATTGAGTAGGAAAACCTCATCATTATCTTCATTTGATGGCGCTGGTGTAACTTGTGGCTTTGGTACAGTGAAGTACGCAAGCACATTAACACAAACACCAACAATAAAGAGAAATGCACTTAGTATTATTGCGCAATCCTCTGGTGACGTCGAATAATAGAGAAACACACTAACAACGGTGGTGCACAAAATGGAGAAAAAGACGCGCTGCTTGATAGAGAGATTTCTTTGTAATGGCCAACCAAACGTTATTACCAGAAGTATTTTCACGCTCCAAACTATAAATGGCAACACCCAGGTAACTGTTAACCTCACGACGAGAAGAATGACAAGTATTGAAACGATTAAACAACCAGTTCCAAAAGCAAGCTGCAGTAACGTTTCGTTTCCAATGTCTTCGCCTTTTAAATGTTTGTGAAGAATATTGGCTGATAGTTGAAACGCGTAAATCAGGAAAACCAATTCTATGAAGCTCAGAATAATATATCCACCAAGGGAGATTAGATCATTTCCGGTGTGTAGTCGAAGGTAACGGGAAACAAAAAAGGCGAACAGAAGAAGTATCAAAGTTCCAATATCCAATCCAACATGCGACTTTTTGACAACTGTGTTTACATTGGCCACTGCCTCCTCAATATTAACCACTCGCTGCAAGAATTGAGTTTGGATATCCTTTACGGTATTTATCATAGCTTCAAGATGAGTGTTTGTTTGTTCTGTCATCTGTTTTACTTGCTGTTCCATCAAATTAATTCCTCTTGCCGCATTATCAGACATCACTTTTAAAACGTTGCTCATGCTAGCTCCCATTGCTTGAAAGTGTCTCGTCGATTCGTCTGTAAAACGTTTCATTTGTCGTCCCATTTCTTCAATTGCGTTTCCTGCGTTTGCAAGTGCAGGAGCAACGACAGGAGGAGGGACAGGAGGGGGAATCCTCCTCCTCCTCCTACGAGCTTCACAAACAGCACATGAACACACCAAAATAAATAGATGGATGAGGATATACGTCTTCATTTTTGTAAAGGCGACGAACTGAAATAAGAAATTAAGTGCAGAGAAACATCAAATTCAAAGTTCCTTGAGCATTATTTTAGTTTTAGGTTTAGTGCCATTGTCAAGTCGCATATATATATAGTTAATAGTTGGAAATTCGCAAGCAACTTAAGGCTCTTATATCAACATATTTCGATCTATTTCCACGTCAGCAGATAAAATCATGAGGGTAACATGCCTATAGCCCCTGAGATGGATCATGCATGGTTTTCGAAATTCACTAAAATGAATTGAAAGAATTCAGATATACATACCTTGAGACAATTCGTGACGAACTTTAGCGCATTAATCTTTTTAGCTTAAATTGTTTCAAATTGCTCACTGAACAGCTGCGAATCGAATGCCTGAAATGCTTTTTTAAATTTAAATTTATAATTCATGCATATACAACACTTACAACATTGCTAGAACTATTCCAACTGGTTTCTATTGTTGCATTATATAAAGAACATTCTAATGGCCGAATAACTTTGTCCAATAAAACCTTTAATCCCGTTTGTTCTTGTTAACTTATAATTCTTGAGATCTTTCATTTAGTAGCTTGTGTGCCGCGATATGTGTAAATATCTTAAGAAGAAGCAACTTATTAAAATTGAGCGAGAGATTTTATTCGACCATGTCAAGGTTTTGCAACAATAGAAAACAGTTGGAAACAGTTTCAGCCATGGTCATATGAAATATTATAAATGTAAATTTTTTTAAAAATCATTCAGCCATCGCATTCGCAGCTGTAATCCATTGAGCAATTTAGCTTGAAAGACTCAAGCAAAAACGATCATTTTGTTAAATCTCTTTAGAAATTACATTTCTTTACAAGGTATGTATTTGAATTCTTTCAATTTTTTGGAGACCTTATTTCACTTTGCTTCTCATTAAGCCATTATGATTGTATCGGGAGATCTTGCTGTTTTCGTGATTTTATGCATGCTATGCTTATTAAAAGGAACTTAAAACTGAACTCGAAATTTGTTAGTGTCACTACACTATACATTGATAATATGTTGACGATTTCTATTGTCAACATATGCATGACGATCTATACGACAATAAATAATCGTAACATACACGCGTTACAATATATTCACGAGAAAACCACGAAAAAACATAGAGTTGACTGAAGCGAGATTTGAACTTCCATATTCAGCGAACCCGGCTAACCCTCTAGCAATTGAGCATTCGAGTCAACTGGGGACAATGCAAGTTCAAATCCATATTTAAGCAGTGTTGTGTTTTTCTCATGAATATACAGCTAATTCAAAGAAGGATGTCCTTTGCAAACCTTAAACCTTAAACTCTAAGCGTGCAAAGCATAATGGGAGCATTATTTAATCAGTTTAGAAATCATATGTGGGGCCCATTAGAGACATGGTAAATATCTCCTGACGAGAACAATTCATTCACAAAGAGCTGCAATATTCAACTACTAAGCTTGAAACATGTGCTTTAGAGTTTAAGGTTTGCAAAGGACAACCTCTTTTGAATTGGCTTCTCCTGAACAGGGAAGAGCCTGGGAACGAGGATGTCATAATGATTATTGGTATTCTTTGCAATTTTCTTCATGAATTATTAGTGATATTTTAATTTTACTTTTGAAAGGGTTGATTTTACAATTGCAGTTCATCGCCTTTGATCCAAAAATACATATGAAGTCGTCGTGTGTTCCATGCATCTGCTTGTTTTTACTGGCATGTTCGTGTGCTTATGTGTCGTGTTGTATAAGAGCTCGAGTTCGTGTTGCCGTTCCTGACTTTCGACACGCGCAAAAGGCTGTAGCTACAAGCGTTAGTAATATGGTGGGCGTCGTGGAAGGGAAAATGCAGCGGTTGACAGATGAATCCGCGCAGCTACTTCAAACAGTGGGATCTAGCGTTAGCAACTTAGTACAAGAGATGTCTACGAACGTGGAAAAAGCAATTGTTATGGTAGAAGGACAAGTCAGAGGGATGAGAGAAGATGCCAATAGACATCTTGAAGCTATCGGAAACAACGTGTCGAACTTTCTAGGCGAACTAAAGGTACATGTGGATAATGTATCGGAAGTAATCCAGAAGGACATACTGCCCGAAGCAGTATTAATAACGAAGAATGTAAACAAAGTAGTAAAAAAGACGCTTACTGTAATGGATATTGGGATTTTGATACTTGCTTTGTTGGTTCTTTTTGTTTCCCGTTATCTTCGATTAACCACCAAAAATGATATTTTTTCTTCAAGTGGTTATTTTATTTTGGGATTATTCGAATGGGCTATCCTCACTTTTGCCATTCATAAATTTGCCCTAATTTTCCACAAGCATGTGACTGACGAAGACATCGAAACGGACATGTCACTTCAACTTGCTATTGGTATAGGATGTTTCAACGCTTTAATCATTGTCATTATAATAGCTGTCAAGTTAATAGTTATCTGGATTACTCATTTTACCGTACCACAACTAACGAATGAAAATAATGACCACAATGCCAACGGTAAAATTAGAAAACGACACCCGCGCAAACCTCTATACAGAAGATTCTAGAGTAACGAAGGAAAGGATTTTTTAACATTCTAATAACGATGTATAACGTTTGTACAACGAGAATTATTCTAGGAATTTTTCTAACATTCTTAAAATGATGTAATATATATATACTGTGTGTCATATATATAATGACAATTATTCTAAGAATTATTCTAACACTCTAAGAACGTTATTTAACAAATATAAAACATTTTCCGTGTTGATATACAGTTATATCAACACGAGTGGGAATTGGGAAAACGAGAAATTGTGTGGAAACACGACGCCCGAAGGACGGAGTGTTTTCACACAATTTCGAGTTTTCCCAATTTCCACAAGTGTTGATATAACTGTATATCAATACGGAAAAAATGTTTTATATTTTTTTTATAATATAGCACAAAGAAATATAAAGAAAAATTTTTTATATCAACACGGCTCTTATAGCCAATCAGCGTTCAGAATTTACAAAGCTATATTATAAAAATATATATATAATATATGTGCACTAATAATTATTCTATATGAATTATCCTCTCATTCTGAGGACGATATATTTTGTATAGATAATGTCCGTTATACGATAATAAAACAATGTATAATGTGGGTGGGAAACTTGCATTACCTCAGTTCTACAACTTTATAATACTATCGACGACTATCGAGGATATGGACTCAGAAGACATAGATCGTTTTGTTCGTTGTCCAACATTGAACTACGAATTTTAGCCCATCGGTCTTGAGGCAGAACTTTCAAATCTTGCCATGTACGTCTTTTGTCATTGAGGCCGCTTTCCGCCGTCCGCTTCTACTTTAATGATTGGTATACCTGTTTTCCTCCCTTTCTCCTCTTGACCCTCACTCGCTTCGGACGTTTGCCATCCTTCATCTTCACAGTACGACTGGCCAAGTCAGCATCCTTCTCATTTGTTTATCGAGGTCCTGCTTCAACAGTGAAAGCATCTCTACAACACAAATTCACCCCGATCTTCATGATTGCAGACTAAACAATGTATGATATGATAAAAAACAGTTGGAAACAGTTTGAGCAAATACATACATGCATAAATTACCGATGCAAATTGCTCAAAAATCATTCAAGCATCTGAATTGGAAAGTGGACTTGTTAACTAAGCAATTTAGTCTCACAAAACTAAACAAGCAGATTGTGTTAAATTTCACAAATTGTCTGTCTGAAGGTTTGTATACTTTTTAATCCTAATTCTGGTAATTTGATTTGCAATTTAAAACCTTTTTACAACACTGCATTGTGATCTTCTATTGCGCCTGTCATACAGTGATGTCATTTTCGAAATCTGCTAATATTTTCAAGGCTTCTGTTGTCTATATAATTACATGACGATATGATCGCCACACAGACATGAAAATTTCTGCAAATTAATTGTGATTAACGTGTTGTGATCTTGAGACTGTTGGATAAAGCTACAGATTTAAATAGATTAGTTATAAATGAACGGAACATTTACCAAATGCAAAGGCAAAGCCAAAGGAGACTTTTTCATGCAGGTTATTATATAGCAAAGAAATGAAGAGCCAACACCACTGCTGAAAAGAACACATCATTCAAAATTAGCAAAATTGTAAAATACTATGACTATAGTGAATAAGGGTATAACATTGCCTCGCAAAGTTTGCTTACCGGGTAGACAAATAATTCGCTTCCGCAATATTAAAATATATTTAAAATGTGCAAACTAACTTTGCACTTGTATTTTATGATATTTTACCACCAAACTTTGCGATTTTGTTAATTGTGATGTGCTTTTTTCAGCAGTGGTGTTAGATTCTCACTGTTTCTATGCCTATAAACAAAATTTGGGAAAATCGTGAAAAGGTTTACTCTAGATTATATTCTTTATATCATTTTAGTCAATTTACTCGATTCTGATTGGTTAAAAACCGTGCCGATTAAACATTAATCGGCACAGTGTACCGATTAAAGCGAAGAGGTTATTTCGCTGGCCTGAGAGTGACAAAACGTAACAAAGCAACAGTTTTACAAACACTAAGTGACCCTATTCCAAACACCAACCCTACTCCAAGTTTGTTTCTAAACCAATCTTGAAGAAAAACTTTTTGACGAAATGTCATTCTGAGGTCGGCGAAATAACTTCTTCCCGATTAAAAATTAATCGGCACAAATACGAGCCCACGTGCAATCCGCACGAGTGCTGAGTTCAACCAAGCCAGGCTCTCTATTTCCGCTTTCCTCCAAAATATGTTGGAGCGTGTTTGGAAGGAAAGCGGAAATGCGAGGTTGGTTGAAATTTTCAACAAAATCTAAATAAACAACGTGAAAATTTATATTTTCTGAACTCCGAGCTCTTGTGTATGTTCAAATAAACAAGACAAAGAAGAAATAATGATCATTTACAGTTTTCGCAGGTATAAATTGAAAACTAATGTCAGGAATTACTTTCGAAATTGACAAATGCGCGTATGGCGGCTGTGCTTCCTTGAATAGCATTAACACAATGTTTCTTGTCATTGATTGCACGTGTACAATTATTGACTATGAAATTGTATAAATAGGAAATTACACTTGTTCGAGAATTATTGATGAAAAATCACACTTGTGTTTGGCGAAATATTTATAATACTGCTCGTGCTTCGCCAAGCAATTAGTGACTAATTATTTTACCGAATTAATAATTATTAAAAAGTGTTACTTTTGCTTTTGCAGCTCGTTGCCCTTCAGTTGAATACAAAAATAAAGACGTATACGTTCTCATCCGTGGGCACACTAATTAGAGCAAGCAGTACCCAGGAAATTGTTCCCAGGGCAACTTCTATGATGGGCATAGAAAAGTCGCATTTTGTGGCAGACATTTGGATTCTACTATTTTTTTTGTTCGGTTTCTTTTTTTTTGCATCACCTTCGATTGCGTATTGGGAACTATTTGTTCTTATGTTGTGGATATAAAATTGTGTGGTGCTTAGAACTGGTTTTTCTGGTCAGCGCAGTTAAAGTATTGGTCAGTATTCTTGAAAAGCTTGTGATGCATGGGCACGACATTGAATATGAATGTGAGACGTTACCGCGCCTATCGGCCATGATGTTGCTGCTGTTTATTGTATTTTACTGGGTGTTGCCATTGGCTTGGCATATCGTTGTAGCAATATTTGGTTGGCCATTACAAAGAAACCTCCCTACCAGTTTGCGCGTGGGGTTTTTCTCTTTGTTCGTTGCCGTTGCAAGTGTGTTTCACTTATCGTCGTCACTGATATATTTTTTAATTACATCGTCTGTTTTATTTCTTGGTATTGGTGTCTATGTTAATGTGGTTTCCCGGTTTCCCCGCAAGTGTCAATAAATGAAGACAATGTCAATGACAAAGTTCGCCGACAACGTCGTCTTTATTAGATTTTATCATTATGACTGCAATGCCAACGGCAACGATAAATTAGAAAACGACAGCGCTACGAACGATGCATGAATAAAGTATGTACGATTAGAATTATGCTTGTATACAGCTATTTCAATTAAGGTTGTCCCCGAGCAAAGTGGAAAAGTCGAATACGAGCGCGAAAGGCTTGCCGGGAATCGCTAACAAATTAATGAATTTTTTTTTATTCTCAGCAAGCCTTTCGTGCTCGTCGTATTCGACTTTTTCGCTTTGCTCGGGGACAACCTTAATTGAAATAGCTGTATAAATATCTCGTATTCTCATGTAAGATGAAAATTATTCTAAGAATATTCTAGTATTCTAAAAACGATGTAGATTAATTGTATCTAGATATATAATGTCTCGTGTACGATGAAAACAATTCTAAGAATTATTCTAATATTCCAAAAACGATGTATAATTTATGTATGAGGAGAACTGAAGATGCAACGATTGTATTGCCTTTTGAAAATACTGGGTCGAATTATAAGTTAGCATCAAAAATCACTTAAGGTGGCAACACCAATATTCTAACTTGTCCAAATATGCAAATTAGATAATTAAAATAATAGGATATTTTTTAGACTGCGAGCAATCCCTCTATTTTCCTTCGTTTTATTGTTTCCCGGATTAGATAATTCAAATTAATTACTTTCGATCAGGTTCATCATCAGGAAGTTGTATCTTAAAATTTCAATACTGTTCATGTGTCTTACAACATCTTTTTTGCTCTTATTTTTGACTCTTTATCCAGATTTTCGCCTACAAACCAAAAATTTGAGAGCATTTTCATTTTTCTGCCTTAGCTTCTGTCTTATTTTAAATAATTATGTAGTATATTTCGAATTTAATGTGAATGAAAAGAAATATGTAAAGACAACGAGCGTTAGAAAATGTATAACTGAGTCACATGGACATGATCTGAAATGGTCTCATTGCACATAGCACATGCCATAACAATTACACACGTAAATGTCTCGCATCTTGTGGCAAGTCTGCCGACAAGCCGTCAACAAGTTGTCTTCGCACTGCTTGTCCCAAGTTGTCAACAGTTTGGAACAAGCCGTTAACAACTTGTAACAACCTTGTTGATATTATCAGACTTGTTGCAAGGTTGTTCCAACAAGTCCGATACAGTCATGGTATAGCAATGTTGTTACAACCTTGTGTCGTCAACCTTGTAACATCTTGTTATGTCATGACTGTATCAGACTTGTTAGAACAACCTTGTAAGTCTGATAATGCCATCAAGCTTGTTACAAGTTGTTAACAGCTTGTTCCAAACTTGTTACGACAACTGGGAACAATCAGTACGAACACAACTTGTTGACAGCTTGTGAACAGGTTTGTAACAACTTGTTTGCAGACCTGCAACAACTTGTGCGTTTTTACGTGTGTAGTGCCAGACAGGGTGCCAGATAATGTTCCATTGTCTTTTTACTGCCTTTCTTGCTTTGCATGGCTATCCAGTTGCCCATTGTTTTGACTTAGCATTCTTGTACAGCGTTTTTGGAGAACTGTTGAAATAAAGATGTTTTCGAATATCTCTCTCTTTTAGATCGTGCAGAGCGGTCCTTTGTCTCAAACACAAAATAAGAACCTACATACAGAAGCAAGGGTTGCACCAGTACGTGTGCCTTCTGTTACGATCTCAATCAAGCCTCAACTTGTGGCTCCAAGCCCGAGCATCGACACCTTCAAGTCTGGGGATGAATTTGATGGTGCGGGCGGTCGAGAACGAACGCTAGTCAAGAAATATTACCAAAATTCCAGCGGTGGTTTTATAGGTAAGGACAGATAGAAAATCGGGTCAATTTCCATAATAGCATCCTCAATTTTACATGCAATGATATCTGTCCTTTCAAACTATTCTTAATTTTTGCAATGCAATAAATCTAGATTTTTCTCAATTTCAGTGAAAGAAAACTTGTTCACGGTACAGGAAAAGATTACTCTTTCCCCTCTGTTTACACTTACAATTTTTGCTGGAATTTCTAGTGCGATTTTCGTCTTCTGATGGATGTGAACGAGTAGACGAGTAATGAATGTTCAAAGCATATGTACCTTCATCTGAACATTCATGACTCATCCACTCGTTCACATCCATCAGAAGGAGAAAATCGCACCTTTAAAACTCGTACCTAAAATTGCAGGGAAAATTGTGTAAACGGGCCCATTTCCACTCAGGAAAATTTTCCGCAGAAAGAAAATTTTGTGAAATATGATTGGTCGACACAAATTTTCCGTCGGAAAAAATTTTTGAAGTTGAAAATTTTCATTAACAAAGAGTTGATAACAATGATATTTTCGGAAAATCAGTTTCTGTCCGTGGAAATTTTTCTCGAGTGGAAATGGGCCTAAAGACAACATTAGCACCCCAAAACCACTCGTATGCATAGTGATTTATTCTCAAGTGTAAATGAAGTTATGAATTATTAAAATATTTCTCAGATGGTTTTCAGAAGAAATCAAGAACTGGTAAGCAAGAGTACTGGAATCAAATGACGTCGTCAGAATTGGAGAAAGATGTAAGTTGCGGAATTTAATACCCAGAGATAATCCGGGCTTAATAATTAGGTTACGATTAGTTAACTTTGCATTTGTGTCATGTTCTATATACAAAGCAGTTAACGTGTATTGTATTTGGCTGGTAAAATGGCGAGAAATAACATCTGTTTTAGTAAAATTCTATTCTTATTCAGCGTCTCTGTTTTTATGATAACTTATGGACTGATTTCAAAAATGTGTCGATCTTCCTTTCATTATAATCTAGGGTTGGTCCTCATTATTGAAGACTGACCAGGGATCTCTACTACTTCCTGGGGCCACTACTTTCAAATGTGTGTGAGCTTGAACTGTCTAACGGTATCTTTTTCTATTTCTTCTTGCAGAAGTTAGTCATGGGCAGCAAGGAGTGGATGGACGCACATTTAACTGCTGTATTGGACAAAGCGAAAATGACAAGACAGCTTTGCCAAATGGGATAACTATAGTATATATATTTTATAAAAAGCAATGTTCTTCTATATTTATAAATATATCTTTTCACTGGGAGTTGTATTTGAATGCTGGAATCATCTCCATAGAGTTCGTACAGTTACCAGTGCGGTATCTGCGTTTATTCCATTTCTCACTCATTGCTGAGCAGATTTTCCAACAGGCTATTGCCCAATTGATAAGTGTCCGAGGTACCTACGATTTAATGTCCTTATTCTCTAACCATTTACTCAGGGACGCCGGAACTGGGGGGGGAGGGGGGGGGCGGCTGCCCCCGTTGCCTTTTGCTAGGGGGGGGCAGGGGGGCAGAAGTGCCCTTTTAGTTGTAAAATACTACGTGATAAATCACATTTCCAACGATGCTTTTTAATTTGTAGGAAAATCATGAGATTCAGGTAATTTATAGTTAACAAATATAAAACATTTTCCGTGTTGATATACAGTTATATCAACACGAGTGGAAATTGGGAAAACGAGAAATTGTGTGGAAACACGACGCCCGAAGGGCGGAGTGTTTTCACACAATTTCGAGTTTTCCCAACTTCCACGAGTGTTGATATAACTATATATCAATACGGAAAAAATGTTTTATATTTGTTTTATAATATAGCAATGTCAAAAGCCCGAAGAATAAGAAAAATTTCCGTGTTAACAAGCGGCGGAAAATTTCCCGTGTTGACGTGGAGTTATATCAACACGGCTCTTAGCCAATCAGCGTTCAGAATTTACAAATGCTATATTATAATTTATATTTATACAAATTTTGGAAAATTTTTGGAATTTAGAAAAATATTTTGAAGAAATGGCGAAAATTTAAGATATGCGGAAAAATTTTTGACTTCACGGAAAATTTTGGTATGTCCGGAAAAAATTTTTGACCCCTATAAAAATGGTACACTGACCGAAATCTTTTTAAAAATTTCCATTGAAAAAAATTTTCCGGGAGATTTTGAACTTTCGCTCTATGGAGGTGCCCTTGGTGTGCGTCCGCCCCCTTTGCCTTATTATCGTTCCGGCGTCCCTGTATTTACTGATGTCAATGTAAAGGTAGCTCTTTCTCCTAAGTTATTTTAAAACCTTGAGTAGAGGTCCAACCAAGCATTGAACCCATGTCTCCCAGCTTGAAAGGCAAGTGTGGATATCTATATTTCTATGGTTTACTAACAAATACAGATCAAACTATATGAAAAATATAACCAGAACTTTGACGTTTCTGGCGAAGCCTACTAGCCTGTATAACCAGCTCCAGTTATGAATAGAGATCAATTCTGTCTGAGAACTCTTGATAATTGGGTACATTTAGGGACTATTGTGTATCTCGACCATTTCCAAGATGGCCGCTGAAACTGTTATTTTAAATTTTGATGCTCAAAAAGTTTGTCTTGGTTTTAAGGTAAAGATCTCTGACAATATTTTTTCAAGAAGGAATGGTATAGTGTTGTGTATGGATTATTTTGTATGTGAATGGACTACTAAATATAAACATATCGTTGAATTTATAAAGCTGGAAAAGTACCAACATGACGAGTTAACAACAAATGTTCAGATTATTCAGCATGTTAGAAGGGTTGTTGATGAATTAAAACGTCGGAGATACCCTTGTAACACATGACATGAAGGCAAACTATCAAATTTCCTTTTCCTGTCTTCTATAAATATGTTTAC